TTTTTTTTTTTTTTGAATGGCTACTGTAACGACTGTTGAAACATTAATTGACAACGTTAACTGCAGCAAAATTTTTAATAAATTAGTCTATGCAACACATTTGTTAAATGAATTACTGTATATAATTTTCCTCTACTACTTAAAAGTATGATTTTTAAATGAGATTTCTTGATAATATTTTATAACTTAAACTTGCAAGTGATAATCATTAAAACAATGGTCACTTTTTAGAATTAAAACCCTGCATTTTGAAAACTTAGCAAAATCTTTTCGTTTCAGAAGTATCAATTTTTATTGAAAAATTTGCCTTTGCAGTCATTAGTTGTGGGTTAAAGAAAAGGCTAAGTTTTGACAAGTATTTTAGTTTGTTGTATTGCAGAAAAGAATGGTAAAACTGAAAAGTGTGGTGGATGCCAACGACTGGTTGGAATCTGAATTTGAAACTATTAGAAGATTGGCATTATTTTCAGTGGCGATAAGTACACTCATTGTAGTTTCCTGTATTACTTTTATTCCACTCTGTTACGAACATGTCCAAAGACTACAAAGTTCTATGACTGTTGATGTTATCTTACTAAAGGTGACTTTTCTGATGTTGTTTCTTATTTTCTCCTCTTTTTTTTTTCTTTGTTTTTATTTGCTCATTAAAAAAATTTTTTCTTTTCTTTTAAGTTTTTCATGTGGCCTTATTTTTATTTCTTAAGAACCAAAACAAGGAGTTGTTTGAAGCAACACTTAGTGTATTTGTGGAGAGGGATGACGACGATTTGTCCATCCTTCGTAACAGGACAGACCTGTTCCAGTAAGCTACATCAGAACCGTATACTTATTAAACTTTATACATTTCAAAACATAAATACACCAATATTCCATTTAGCATCTAGAAGACTTAAAAAAACTAACTTATTGCAGAGCAGTAATAACTAAAAGAGATGTTGATATAGCCAGTAACGAAATGGAGCTTGACAGACTGATTCCATCAGTTATAAAAAGACTGACTCCTCCGATTCAGAAAATAGAAAAAAAAGAGACACCAAAGCAAAAATGTAATAAATACTTATACATGTTCACTACTTTTCAACTAATTCTCTAGGTGTGTAAGGCAAGAAAAAAATTGAAATTCACTCGCTTCAAATTTTCTAAAAGCTAAAAAACGCCAAAATCAAAGAAGATAAGAAAACTTGATCCTAAATAAAAATGACAGATTTCCATTGTTTTTTAATCACATCTGTGCATCACCAATTTAGGTTGCTGCAAATATGGTCCACCAGGTCCTCCAGGTGATCCGGGCAAAGATGGACTGGACGGTAAAGACGGCCAACCAGGACTCGATGGGAGGCCCGGAAAAGGTTAATGTATAGATTGATGGCTTGAAAAGAGCCCGTTTCACTTTCGCAAAAATGCTCTAAGAAAAAAGAAACTTTGTGTGACTAGAAATTCATCGTTAATCTCTTTAGCATTAAGAAACGACCTTGGTAGCATACTACTTTATAAATTAATAGCATACAATTTACAGATGCTGCCCCTTATCACAATTATGTTCCATGTGTACAAGAATGCCCACAAGGACCGCCTGGAGAAATAGGACCTGCTGGCGAGAAAGGTCCACGGGGGTATCCAGGTGAAAAAGGAGACCGTGGACCGCCTGGTAAACCAGGAGCAAAAGGTCCAGAAGGAAAAATGGGAGCTGCAGGGCCGCCAGGGTTACCAGGTTTTTCTTTTTTTATTAAAAATTCCATTCCTGAGGTCTAATCTTTGAAAAAAGGATAATTATTCAAATTCAGGAAGGCGTGGAAAGAAGGGAAGCCCAGGTAAAATTATAATCCGTTTCGGTCCGGCTGGTCCTCAGGGTAGACCTGGAATAATGGGACCACGAGGACCCCCAGGACCTCCCGGCTTGCCTGGAAAGCCAGGTTTACCAGGTCCCAGAGGACCACGTGGTGATCCAGGCAATCGAGGTCAGTTAAGCCGTAATGCCGTTGAGTTGATGGTTCATGAATAACTAAAATTAAAGTTTTCAGCAAAGTAACTATAGCAAAATCATTGAATGTAGAAAATTTTCATGTTCTCTACTTCGACAGTCACTAACTATAAAGCTTTCAAAAAATTTACTTATGAGTAGACAAAATTAAGTTAAAATAGTTAGGAGCCATACTTTGATTCCGAACTTTGAATTTTATACTTTTGTTTCAGGCCCACCAGGCAAGCAGGGACCACAGGGCCAGTCAGGGCCACGCGGAGAATCTGGTTGGAGAGAAGCTTGTTATCACTGCCCTCCACCTGAAGTTGCAATGGGCCCTCCACTGGAAGATATTAAATAGGGCGTCAGGAAAAATGAAAAATTTAGAAATCTCAACTGAATTGAACAATTGTTTGTAACTTTTATGTAAATAATGTGTCTCGTTAAAAAATACCGAGGATCTTTGCATCTAGGCTTTCATTAATTAATTTTGTAAAAAATAGTTGAAACTTTCAGACATTTCTGTTGTATAAATCTCTAATAAACAACAACAATTGTCAGCGATATCCTTTTTAACACTTCTCTCCTCTATGAATTATTTTAAAACTATTTGCACATTGTTTTCTTGTTATTAATGCGAAGTCAATTGTGTGAAAGTCACTGCGGCAATGCTTGCCCAACAATTTAATAAACAAATCTTTTACTAGAACCACGTATGTAGCATTATGATTAAAAACTGTAACCCTGTACATTAGCAGCTAGAATTCTGCTTTAAATTCTAATGCGCAAAAATACAACAATCTCATGGCTGAGCATTTGGCATGAGCACGTCATTTACAAGCCTTCTGTACAACGACCTACTGTAGCAGCAATTCAACATCGCACAGTTTGCCATGATACTGCATACTAAACTTACGAATGTTTTTAACTGTTCACATTATAACAACCAACATCCTCCTCCCTTGTTAACACAAATCTTGACTTTTTCATGTTCAGGCGCATCTCGTAGAAACATGCCCTGGTCTTCTACCACACAAGAAATAAGAAAAACTAACAAAGACACACCACGCGTGAAGTTCTGATGCATATCGAATCGCCACCTGACAGCTAATTCTAAAAAGCATTATGCCATAGCAAACAATCACAAGGGAAGCCTGCCAGCAAAACTTTTCTTCTGCATTTTTCCAATTTTTCAAATAAACTGCGAATTCCAAGCACAGGCCACAGTCCAAATGACCAACACCACTTTTACACGACACTGTTTGGTAAATAAGTAAACGGAAAACCCATAAAACACTACTTAACAATGCAGAAATTCCGATGAACAATTTTGTGCAGCAAAAAAGCGTCAAAACCTCCTTACCATTGCCAAATTTATTAATCCTGTTAATGCCACAAAAAAATAAAATGAAATTTTAAGGTTATACCAGGAATTCCAAATTTGCACTGATGAAATCATAGGACAGTTATGGTCATCTTATAACGCACTTTTACAGGAAAATACCCAAGCCTCGTTCCAGATAATATCAAAAAAATACAAAAATTTCATCATTTAAAACTAAGTATCCCAAATACTTTAAACATGGCCTAACAGT